CTTCCCACCATAGTTGGTTTTGACCCGTTGAGCCGTCCCCACATGATGTTCTGTTCCAAGTTTGAAGCTTTAAATCACGGTGCTTTAAATCACCTGTGGGATCCTGCCGTTCAGAATTTGCCTCCTACACGCAGCCCCAAATGGTTCCAATGGATCCAGTGTGGCCAGCAAATCATGGGAAAAGCCTAGTAATACGCCTGAAATTTGGGGCTGGCTGATGAGTTTTCACCGAGTTCGGGCAAGTCGTTGGGGATGGATGGTTGAGGGTTTACTACATTGATTGATCGTCAGTTTCCCATTTCCGTGTCATATTCCCACTAGATGTTGTTGAGGATATAGAAAAGAAAGTCGATTGCTGCTAGTAGCTTGTAAAATCCCAAAGTATCCCAGTTACAAACCTCCATTTAATATGTTACCATATTTTCCCATGATTATCATATGGTCAACGCCTCATTCGTAGCTCTGGCTCCCCATTTCGGCCTTTGAGCTAGAAATCTTCGTGACGACCGCTGGCCTGGGGATCTGTTTAAGATGATGATGAATTCAACTGACCCCCTATAGTTGGGGTATGGTTTTCAAATACCCCCTTTTAGGGGAAAGCATATGTATCTGTAAATATCTAATTGCTCCATGATCGTTCATTGTACTTGTTTATTGGGTTACCCTGCACTACTTGAATGCAGCTTGGTGGTGTAAAATAGAGGTTTATGTAGAGAGCCAAAAATCGAAAAGGCGTAGTGTTGAAGAAACTTTGCACTGAATGAGGCAGAAGTAGCATGAGCTTAGGCGATGAATGTTGGGGAGGATGTCTCCCAACCGGCTAGGGAGACTTGGTACGTCAACAACCTACAGGGACTGACTCACGTAACAATTGGTATCTTGCCAGCACCACAGCAGAGGCCCTCTGGAACCATTAAAGAAATGGGATTCCCTCCCCAATGTTCGGCCCTTAACAGGAAAATCATGGCATGGCGAAAAGGTTTCCAGGTTAGCCACAGGACAGAGCCGGGCTCGCGCACGGCGTGAGTTCCGCCACACTGGATGGGGTTGTTACGGAGCAAACCTCGTCGGATGGGATCAGCTACCAAAGGGTTCCAGTGTTCGCATTTTTAAAGCTGAAAAACAGGCAAGTTGCACAGTTCAAGGGACCAAAATTGGCCAAATATTCGGCATGGATTTCCAATATGATGGAAGTAAGATAGCCCTGGATTCTGGTTTGGTCCAAGATGATCTTCCCAGCCATCCCGAAACATGGCAATCAAACCAAAAACTACACCTTTGAAGAGCCATTCCCATGCCATCTCTTCACTTATTTTTGCAGGTCTGACGAGGTTGAGAAAGTTTTCAAGAGAGGATAATATGTGGGAAACTCATGAATAAACCTAGCCTGTAAAAATGGTGGTGTTGGGGATGCTTTATTATTGGGTTTACCACACTATTCTATATAATTTTGACGATGTGTTGCCTTTAGCCCTGCTGGAACATAGGACCTGTCTCTGTGCAAGCAGGAAGGACGCCAGGCAATAGGGTCATATGCCAAGCCCAATAACACACCCCCTAATGCATGTGCTTTTCATAGTCAATCAGCATTTCAGACATGTCAGCAGCCCACAGCCTCTTCTTCCCTGCAAATGGTAGAAGGCGTGCTTTCTTCCTTCCCCTGTGCGCAACACATGCGCCAGGCTCAATGTGGACCACGGGATACTGAGTTAAGCAACTCGGACTTCAACACAAAAAAGAGCCACTGCTCCACACCACTTGGCATGGACCGCCCGTCCGCACCTGACTGTTGTAGCTCCTGCAAATGTTGGAAGTACAGTTGCGATCAGCCATGTCCATGAGTTGACACGTGGTCGTGTTGGAAAACCGCCCTTCCCATGACCTGAATTGGGGGGCCCTTGCTACATATCCCTATGATGACCCCATGATGTCCCTATAAAAACGGTTGGTGAACCAGTCCTGGTTGCGGCCACCGGCTTTTCATCCTGTTCGCAGGGTGGTGACACACCCTGACAACTTGGAAAAGCGTGAAAGTCGATGGCACAACACACGTGTGTATGCATATGTATACCGTATCTATATATAAATATATAATTATATTATATATAATTATATATATGTACACATTTGCCACAGTGAGATATGCATACATTGTGTAATCATGTTAAAACATGTTGAAATACGTTGAAATATGTGTTCTGAAACATGCGTGAAGATTTGCCCTGTGGGCCACAGATGTCTCCAGTCAAGGTCGTCTAAAATAGATCTACTGTAATTGCCCTCATAGTCACGTGCCTGCACTCGATGAAAACAATGCTCTGGCAAGCTGGCCCTGGCTTTGTGAAATTAGGGTGCCCTATATCCAATATCCAATCGTTGATCCTGATTTGAAGGAAATTCTTCAGTTCTGGACAAGGGCAAAGGAACAGTGCTGGGTTCACCTGTCATCACTCCTTTTGACCACACTGTAGGGAAGGCCGTGCAATTGGCGAATCCATACCAGTTACCCCTATCAACAAGCATGGAACCACAACAAAAACCCAAGCCAATACTGAGGAGGTTTCCCCACAAAATTCGGGTTTCGAAATTGAAGGGACTTCAGTTTGGGCGCCTTTGGCCCCTCCCCCCACTGGTGCCCATGAGAAACGCCGCAGATCTTTTTCTCAGCCCACGGAGGAGCTTCCGCGACCTGGCCATCTTCGAGTTTCAGTCCCGAGGACCTTGACGAAATCTACGCTACTTGTCTCGGAAATGCTGCTAACTTTCCTTGGATCCAAGTTTGACCAAATGGTGTTGGGTTGTATATGGTTGTATGCACCAATATCAAATTTTGACTCAATCTGCACTGTTGATCTGTTGGTCCGGTTCCCCCACCTGGACCACCAGACTCATCTGGCCGGCGTGACTCGCGAGCCTCACGAGCCTCGCGAGATCCGCGCGCTGCTCTGGCCTCGCAGGCGAACCATGAGGGTACCTCAGTTTTATCCCAGGAGATAGGGAACTTGCTGAAAACTACAATGCAACTAGGGATGCTGGATATACAGACGTTCAATGGTTCAATGGGTTTATAAGCCAAGCTATAATTGAGGCGTCCCACTTATTTGCAGGGTGTCTTTTTCTATTTTGTTCGTCCAATTCCGGGAAGCTCTTTCTTGGAAAATAATGGTGAACGTCCCAACCAGGTATGGGTTGAAATTGAATCCTTCAAAACGGGGATTTCAGCAACTGTCGCGAATATTGCTGATCATAGTGGGTCAAACGTCGGTACCTAAAAAAGAGATTGTCCGTATAATCCAAATAACATCCTATTTTATCCTATTTTTATGTATCAACCCACGTAGAAAACCAGGTTACCGGGAATCCCCTCTTTTCGCATTTGCGACTGATCGCTGTGGCGCACCTCTGCCACTCGCTGTGGTGCCCATTGGGCCAGCAGACGCAACTTGCCGCGTTTCTTCTGGGCGCGATGCTCGTCTTGGATCGCCGAGAGATGGGCCTGGAAGAGCGGGGTCCCCATAAGTTGAGGAATCCACAATATGTTGAATGCGTATGTGTATACGATTGTATACGTCCTTTTCCGACCAGTCGGCGCATTAATAGAGGCTAAACCCCTTGGTAAGCAATCAAGAGGCAACCAATGGTAAATAGTATGTACCAAAATGGCCCATCTATTCTTCCCACATGGACATTGTTGTGAAAATTGAACTCACAATTGCCAGATGTTCATCTGCAAGACAAAACCAATGATACTAATGACATCTAATGACGATGAGTCGTGATAACGAAGCAGCTTTCATGACGATGATGATCATTATGGTGATGGTGACGATGATCATGATAGTAACAGTTGTCATCATCGTCGCAGAAAGATAATCATAAGCAACACTGATAATACATGACAGTACGACATGAACAATAATGAATAGAATGGCAATCATGATGCTAAGCATAATCTAAAAATTAATGTGTTTTCAGGTTTCAGCAAGGGTATGTTATCCCAATACAATGAAACTTACAACCGTTAAGCTAGCAGCGCAAGCTTCCTTTTGCTCGGGCCGCAATGCTGTCGTGACATGCTATGATACATGGTGTTTATGGGCAAGTGCAATTACAATTAGAAAACATGTGCTATTTGTCGTCAGCTGCTGAGCCCGTTGTGCCTTCCTTTCCGTCAGAAAACCGGTGGTCAGGGGTCGTCCGAAAATTGGGTATCCCTAAAAATCTCGTAGTAAAATCATTTACCCCATCACTATCATCAAGAAGATGCTTGCAAGTATTCATAAGTTGCTTCTATCTGACATCATGTTACAAAAAAAAACTGCAACTTTGGGAGAAACCAGTGCCCAGCCATCACCAGCCATCACCAGCCATCACCAGCCATCACCAGCCATCACCAGCCATCACCAGCCATCACCAGCCATGACCGCTGCCTGATGCTTCAGCTCTAAGTCCTCCAGCTCCTCTTCCAGGTCCAAAGATCTTCTCATCAAGCTCTGCGTCTGCCGTTGCAGCTCCTGTGTCGAGCTCAGGTTGGGATCAGGTTTTTCCAGCACCTTGAAAAATGCGAGTGGAAGGTTGGAAAAACAAACTGATGGAATCTGATGGAGATCTGGGATGCGCATGGATGAGTCTCAATCTATGTGGTGAAATGTTGGTGACAATAGACAACTGGCTTGCTCAAAGCTACACGTCACTATTTTGATTTATGCTGGACTGCAGGTCGTCTCCCTGAAAATGTCGAAATAGAGCTGGGACGTGATCTGTCGGTTGTCCAGTTCATGCAAACCGCAAAGGAATTGTTTGTGCAGGGCTGTGTTTTTGGAGGGTCCAAGACAAACTTCACACCACTTCAACGCGGCACTGAAAGAACGTGACCATGAACACGCATGAATCATGGCCTGCTTGCCTCAGCACTTCGTGATCTAAGAAATGTTGATTCATTGTCGTTAAGATATCAGGCTGCAAACTAGCAGACATGGAAATCACCAGGCAGCCAGCTGTTTATTGCTGTTTCTCCTTGAAAGTTCAGCAGTGCTACACTCATCGCGTAAAACACTCGTCAACACGGCAGATTCGTCCGTGTCACAGGGGCTAGACCAAGCTTCCAGGAGGTTGCAGCACCCACCATTTCAGGTGAGTCACTTTCTTGCAAGATGCCTGCCGCCCTCCCGAAATTCGCGTTGTGCAAAAACGCTGGTCTCACCCAAAAAAAAGGTGCCCTCTAGAAGACGTGCCGCTGACCAAAAGTGTGAAACATTCTTGGCTCAGCAATCCGTGCATCTTTCAACTGACAGAACATTAGATCTCCGCAAGTCATCCCTCGATAACAAAGCTGGAATCCTTCAGCTTGCCGCAGAAAGAGAAGTCCAAGTAGAGCTCATGGGTGGTAGACAAGGCCGGCACCTGCTTGTAGCGGCCCTCCTCCAAGTTGCCCTTCAATTGGACCATTAGGGTGCGGTAGTCCGCGGTCCAGGTATCACCCTTCAAGGCTTTCAACAACGCCCAAGTGAATGCGCCCTGGTAGATGCCTCTGCAAAGGTGAAACAACTTGTTCGCAGAAATTGTGGTAGATGAAACCATATTTTGGTGGATGATGAAATCATAAAAAACTGGTCTTGTCACAGAAATTCAGACGTGCCATTTTTTTTGCTCCCCCGCCTTCGACGTGCGCATCCGCACTGGTTTGGTCATCCTGACAACCTGACAGAGGCTGAAGATTTAGGGACACCGAAACAACAAATCCCTGGTTTTGATTCTCGCACGGAAATTGGACATTCCGAAACATATTGCTTGGCAAAAATCACATGGTCCCATGAATGTCCCATCGTGAATATCCCGCCAGAAAACATCCCTTTTTTGTCGAAGTCCCATTTTCGGTGACCGGTTTCTTCGGATCAATTCGAAGTCGGTCGGCCTGAGAAGACCCACAGCTGATGATCCTTGTACTTCTCGCTCTTCAGAGCTCCCAACAGGCCCCTGTCCACAGGCCTCAACGAGCAGGCGATACCATTGAATCCATGGGCATTTGGGATCTGTCTATATGCAGTGTATGCAAGCCCATATTATATGAACAATATTGAACAATTATATAATTATATAGGATTGTGTGCATAAATGTATGAATATATTATATATATACATATACCAGCAGTGTGTCATGCTTGGCAGATTTATGTTGTGATAGGTCCAGGTTTCACATATGCGAGAGCTACGCTTGTAGTGGCCAGCGCAGTGGCCAGCCCTGTCCACGCAGTGGGTGTGGACCACTCTGTCTGTTAATGACAATATGCTTTCCTGCATGTGCCTCCAGATTTGAAAGCATGAGTGGTTTCTTTTGGTTGACTCCAAATTCACCTACCAGTAGCCGTTTGTTGATGGCTTTTAGGCCAGCTAAAAGTTGGAACCGTCAACCCAAATTACCATCCTTGATGGTTGTTTCCAAATTGGACAAATTGCTATCTGGATCAAATCGTTGAATGTGGTTCCGTGTTGCAAATGATTCTCAGTTTCCAAAACAGTGCCAGTTGACTATGGGCTATGGGTAAGAGTAGGCCAGTATTTTTTAATACATCTGAAATTCCCAGTCATGGAAGACTAGCAGTTGGCCATGCCAATCATGAACATCACGACAAAGGTCCAGTTCTCATGGACTATCTAGCATCGTCCATCACCATCACCATCACAATCTCAACAATAATAACAATAATAATATTTGCAATTATCATCGTCATCATCATCACCACCACCACCACCATCATCATCATCATCATCACGACGATGCTCAACGATGCTCAAAACACCAGTTTTGCCTTCCGAGCCCTGCTGTTGATGCTTGTTGACATTTGGTGCTTCTTATTTCTCCGGCAACTCAGCATAACTCAGCTTCGTCAGGAGACTTCACAGACCTCTCATCATCTTCGATGTCCATGTCAGGCTGTGGCAGGTAGCGAATCCTGATCTCGCGATCTGTTGTCACAGCACGGGAATTGTTCTTCTCCTTGGTGCCCAGGGTCAGGTTGTTCTGGTTTCTGTCACACATAGCATGTGCATATATATATATATATACACATACACACTATACAGTAAGTGCATACATGCACATATTCACATGTGATGTGTAGATGACATGCATGTATAAATGCGGAGCATGTGTTATGTGCAATTTATATATCCCTTGGTATATGAATATACACACCACAATGTATGCTCTATAGACTCTAGGATATACATGTATACTGTCTTTCCTGGAAAATACATATATGATTCTAACAGGAATACACGTTGATCATCGGTTGATCTGCAGATTCTTATTGCTGGCTGGTTCCTGTTCCGCACCCTGATTGCACAGTCAAGCTTCATAAGAATCCTCCAAGTCTTGCTCCAAATTTCCGATGTAGATCCTCGGGCGTCCCATGCCCCTGATATCAAAATCCCCCAATATCGACCCAAAAAATGAATAGATACAATCCTAAACGAATCCTAAACCCGGTGATTCATGTTTGGGGGAAGAAATTCCTTTGTCCGTGGGAAAACCATCTAATTATCCTGATTTTTGACCAGGTTTGGGAAGATATGGATGTGGACAACTGCTGGAGCATGTCTTTGGTTTCCCATTGGTGGATCAGTTCATAATTCCCAAGAAGGCACGGAGTCCTACCCCTACAATAAGCCATCAACAAGGATTTGGGTCACTGCTCAAGCAAATTGAGGCCAACTTCCCTCTGTGTCTATGAGCAATTCCCAAGTCCCAAGCGGCTGCCCTCGTTCAGTCTCCAAGTGCCACTTTGGCCCTGAAAAAAATCGTGCCTCTACTTGAAAATCCGTGTAAATTAGGCTTTCGAATTTGCAAGTCCACCCATCAAGCACCCAAGAATCTTAGCTCCATCGCCCACTTTCATACTCTGAACTTGCTTCAGCGCCTGTCCAGAGGACAAACAGGGGGAAGTTGGAAGTGTAGCAGCATCAAAGAAGAACATATATCATTTGGGTACGTCACAAAACCTACATATATATATATATACATTAGTTGTGAGATGTAAAGCATAGATACTCAAAAGGTTCCAGGCTCACATCCGCATGGCTTTTTCTTCCCAAACTCTTCGTGCAGTCTCAACCTGCTCCTCGCAGGATAGTGCTTTGGAACGCTGTGCAGGTAGTCTCCTGCACAGCAGCACTGGTTGGATCCGTACACCCTGTTCCGCACTCCTGTAAACTCAGGAGGCTACACAGGTTGAATCTCTCCCGCCCAGTGCTACAGTCGTGGGACTCCACGTAGAGATCAGCATCCTCAATGATGTGATCCCCTACAAGGGAGGATACTCCACCGGAGTCCTACCTCATGGGGAGGGAAGGGAGGGAAAGAAAGAACGATGAAGCCAGTTTGGCTCAGACTTGAGCCAAAATGGATTCATCAGCTTACATACTCACCCTAATGATAATGCACACCCAGTGCCTGCCAAACACGATGCATACATACATTAGTTGTGAGATGTAAAGCATAGATACTCAAAAGGTTCACTCTATCCAGGCTCACATCCGCTTGGCTTTTTCTTCCCAAACTCTTCGTGCGGTCTCAACCTGCTCCTCGCAGGATAGTGCTTTGGAACGCTGTGCAGGTAGTCTCCTGCACAGCAGCACTGGTTGGATCCGTACACCCTGTTCCGCACTCCTGTAAACTCAGGAGGCTACACAGGTTGAATCTCTCCCAATGCACTTAATCCCAAAGCACTCAGAGAAACTCCACAACCCGGAGAAACGCGGGAAGTGGTAGAGACCAAATCTCGAAGGGGAAAAATGCAAAATGCGTGGTGAACCCATGGCTTTTGTGCCATGTTGCCTGGAGGCCTTCACGGCTGATCTCATCAGACCAGTTGGCCTTACTAGGGATCCACTCCCAGAAAAACCAAGCCTTAAGACCAAAAAGAGTAATATGAATCAACCGTGACATATGCTCTAAATCTGCATTGTCAGAACGACCTCGAATCAATGCCATCAACGCTGCTGTGTTGTCGATGAACCAGAGACCTCGTCTGCCTCGAAATCTGGACGGCCGAGAAAACAAAGCGTAAAGCACTTGCAGCAACTCCAACTGGGCAATCTTCTTGTCACCAGGCTCCCATATAGGCTATACACCAATGGGGGAATGAGAGAAACAAACGCCTCTCGGTGTTGCCGGTGATCGTCATGCCACACCACCAAAAAGCCCCCAGTCCCCTGACCTGGGCTCTCCAACGCAGCATCCGAAGCAGCAAGGAAGCGGAGCCCTGCATGTGGCCAGATCTCAATGTGGTGAGAGGGACGGGTGGTGATGACAATGCGCAGCAGGTCAAAGCTTTGGCGCAACTCCTCAGTTAACTCTGCGGAGCGCTCCTGCTGTCTGTGCTTGATTGGGGCCAAGCCACCGCAGCCAATGCGCCCCCACACGCCAAGCTCAAAGAAGTTGGCGATACCGTAGAGCTTGGCTGCCACCCCTGGTTGCAGCTTGCCGGAGTCCTCGGCAGTCTGCATGAGATGAAGCAACTTGGTCTCGATGCGTTCACGGGCCCAAAACTGAACCAGACCCTTCAAAATGGACTTGACTGAAGTCATGATCCAGGCCCAGGAAGGTGCCGGTACTCTGCATCTTCTGACATTTCTCCTCGGAAAATGGTGTACCCAAAAGGGTGTTGAGGGTCTGCAAAGCTCTCTGACCTGATCCTCGGCACGATTTGCGGTCTGTCAAGTGAGCATCATCGAAATACAGACTGGTCAAACAAAAGGCAAATCGACGTGATAAAGCCTCCACAAAACGACTGTATCGATTGAACGATGTGACCGCAAGAGGAAGACCAAATAGCAAACCTGTGTAAATCATAAACGCTGGTTGTTGCCATTCATGATGGAAGAAAGCCACAATGCAGCACAAAGCCTCATCCCAACTCATAGGGCAAAAACGATAGGCATCCGGCCAATCCTCACCTCCGGACTCCCATTCTTCTGCCTCCCAGTTGGGTGAACTCCCAAAGGCGTAGGCATACTGCAGGTGTTGGGCCGGCCGCAGCGCTGAGCAAAGGGTGAGCTTGTTCGCGTCACTGGAGCGCTCAGATTGCAAGCCAACGTAAGCGTCGTCAATCACTCGTTGCTTCCCCGAGGATTGTGTGATGACTGATGACACATCGAGGGATCAACCGGTAGGGTTCCGCACCCAGACAACGCTGCAGTTCCTCTGCAGTCATGGGCAAACCACAAAATCCCTTCTCGGCATCTTTGAGGCTTTGCTGCAACAAAAACTCATCATCGGCACCTGGCTTGAGCCGAGCTAAAATGGTGTTGTTGTGGCTCTGCCAGTCCTGGAGTACATCCTCTCGCGTCAAACGGGTGGCAACTTGTTCCGGAAAAATGCCATATGGCGGCGCATACCCCACTGCTGGAAGCCCCATACACAGGCCTGCTGGCAGTGTCACGTCGCCCCAATTGGCTACAAGAAGGAGAATTGCAGTGAAGCCGATATCACGCTGCATTGTTGCCGTCCTGATGGCCTCAGTCTGTTTGTGTCTCAAATGGGCCGTGATCGAGCTCCACCGTCTCTTCATCTCAGATAAGATGCCCATGGAGCGCTCTCGCAACCTGCGCAGGTCAACTCCTGGCAGGCTGGAGAAAGATGCAGCAAACCTCAGGTCATCGTCCAAAATGGGAAGCCCCTCAGTAGGCAACGGTTGCATGCTGAGCTGAAGGGCTTGCTCAAAGTGCTGGTCTGGCTGAAGGTGAAAGGGCAGAAGGAGGGGCCAGCGCCGCTCTGTGGTTGATCGCTCCCACCTGCTGACCTTCTGCCGTCCTCATCTTCTGCCGCGCTGAAGGGGCTGCCAACACTGGGTTGCAGCTGCCCTCCATGTCCAGCCCCTGTTGGTGGCGCCATCGCACGTACAGGTCAAGTGGGTGCTGGTTCACTAAGTCCTCCACGAAGGGGATGGCAACTCCCTCGAACCACTCTCCTGGATAAAGCTTCTTGAAAGCTAGCGCCAAGGACTCCTGCAGAATGTAGAATGGCCCAAAAGGGATGCCTGTAGCCTGCGCTACACTCGACAAGAGGACACGTCGGGTAACTCCCTGGTGACTCCTGCCATGCTGACCTTGGACCACCTGTGGGGCACTCCGCGGGCCCTGCTCACTCAAGCGATCAAAAATCAATCCGGCTAGGAGGTCGGCCTCACAAGTTTGGGCTGCTGAGCAATCACAGACCAGCACTGATCCCTCGAGCTCATCCAACTCGCACCAGAGTGTCTCCCTGATGTATTGGACGTAGTAGGGAACCCAGTCTTGAGGGGTGCAATTCACGCCCACCTGCCATGGAGACTTCCACTTGGTGGTCGGCAGGCGGTGAGTATGACTTCCAAGCCCCACATACACATGACCGGGGGGAAGTGCACCCTGTTGCAATACATCTTCAACACATGCTCTCGTGGGCACCCTAGCCGCTTCAGCTGTGTCCAAGGGTCTCAAACCCAGGCTGATGGCTAGTGGGGTCATAGCCCACTCACGAAGTGCTCTGGGATCGAGGTCAAGCCAATGGTCCCGATGTCCGGTGCAGCTCGGCGATGGGGACCTCAGCACATAGAGCTTGGCGTGTCCAACACGCACTGCCCACCACGAAGCTGCCGTGGCAATTGCAAAATATAGCTCTGCTGTATACTCGGACTCCTCAGCTGAAGGAAAATGGCGCTTACCATCCTGCACCCAAGGTTCCCATTCCTGGGGATCATGGAAATGGTTGCAGTCAGCTCTAGGCCATTGGGCGATCTCTGCAATGTTGTGGCGCAGCCGCTGCAGCTTCGATCTGGCACCCCCAAAGCAGCAGGCTGAATACCGCTGATCGGACCAGCGACCGCTCTCCCACATCGCCACCTCATCCGGTGTCCACCAGTGGAGGCTGTTGTATGGGTTCTCGCGGACTGATCCACCACCCCTGTCCACCAACTGATCGATCTCGGACAGCACGAAGCTCGCAGCCGCATTGTCCTGCTCCACCCGTGTCAGCTGAGACCCTGTCAACTCAGGTAGACCCAGCGGGTGTTGCTCAGATCGCAACGGCCGGGGTGCGGGCGCCCATCACCAAAGTCCCGCGGAATTTCCCTCGCGCGGCTCTTGGTGGAGCAATCCAAAGCTGCTGCGATGAAGCACACAGACTGCAACTGCTCATGCAACGATTGCTGCCTGAGACTGTTGGATAGGTCATGACTCCTATCCAACATCCAATCCACTGAAATGGTCTCCCAACCACAAAAGATGAAGGCTTTGGACAGAGGTGTATTAGGCCCCGCATAAAGGTCCGCCATCCGTGGCAGCTGACAGTCAACTCTGTCTACGGGTCTTGCCTCATCCTGCCCAGCAGAAGTGCCCGCCTCTCCCGCTGGGCCCCGTCATGGCGAAATCTTCGCCCGACATTGGATGGCTCCATGCCCCGGCATACCACAAATGCGTTCACCACGAACCACGATACCACACTTGTGCTGGCCTTGGGGGCAAGAGCTTTTGGGGTTCTTGCACTGTCCATGTTGGAAAGCCTGGCAAATCTTGGAGCCATCGCGCATCACCTTGGCCACCTTCTTGCCACTGACCGGCTTGCCCAACGCAAACTGGGATGGTGGCTGGACTGCTGCCGCAGCCACTGTGGTGGGCTTGCTCGCCTCTGCCTTGGGTGCTCCGGGCACCGCATGTGGTACCCAATGGGCATCACGTGCCACACTGGTCTCCTTGATGACCTCCCCCAAGGACTTGGATGATTCCCGAAATTTGGCAACCCAATCGGAGCGATCCTCAAGGTCACGGGCTTCTAGCCAGGCCAACCTCTGTGACAACGGCAGTGCACTTGACTGACGCTTCGCTCTGTAGAAATATTGCATGACGACATCCAGCGGCACCTCCACGAAGGTTGTCGAGTCGG